GTTAGAACATTTTATTTCATCAGAGAGCATGGGTTTTGTGTACATGTGCTTGTGTGCTTAATTAAATATGTGCTAATTAGCATACCATTGGGAAACTATTTACAGCACTGAAAAGTGAGCAAAATTTGCAGCACATGACTTTTATTTACAAAAAGCTCATGAAGGAACCTGTAGTCTAAAAGTCAACATGAAAGGTACAACATAACTTTTTAGGAACTTCCATGCCTCCCTCAAGAGGGGTCACATAACATACATGACAGGCACGCGATACTAAATCCATAAAATATTAGTGAACACTATATTTCTTAAAATCACAAGGAAATATAAATAGAAGTTCTAGTATTTTATCTTTCTGCCCTAGTGGTTTCTCTCTCTTTTTTTTAAACAACCAGGGACCTGTGCTCAATTTTAAAGAGATCTGTTGAGTATATAATTTAGAGGGTTTGGGCATAGATTGCATGTCCATTCCCAAGTGTTTATATCCTTCTCTGAGAAAAGATTAAGCTTTGATGCTATTGACGTGTATTCCTATGTGTGGAGTGTCTTTTTTCTGCCCTTTCACAGGTTTATCCAGGTGACATCCAAAGGCCAATAGATCAGAATGAATACAATATGCACTTGTTCCAAATTGAGGATGCTGCTGCACAGTTCAACTTACAAGGAGCCACTCATTGATTGTGAATACCTTCTCAATCCTCTTGTACCCTGGTACTGTGCTGTGGGATCACTGCTTGTGTGGACATCCTCCTTACCATGCCTCCTACCTGGGTTCCAGAATGAGAAAACATTCAAAAAGGATCCAAGTCAACTTATAGTCAGTTTAGGATCTACATCCTAAGCCCACATGTATTGTGTGAGGGAAATAAATGTTATAAAACACTCAGCTTTAGGGGTTGTTTCTGATACAATGTAACCTATTTGCAATGTGACTTATTCTAGGGAAAGAGACATAAGTTTAGAAACATATTTTCTTAAATAAGTTGGATGAGAAAGCCTTTTAGAATCAGTTATTATTATTGCGAGGAGGGTTTGTATATGCACAACTGTCTAAATGCATGTACTTTTTGAAGTCCAAAAATTAATTGCAGAGAACATAAGACTACTTTGCTCACTGTAGCACCCTTTTACTACTAAAAATTTCATTACTAAATTAAGCAGTAGATGGCAAATGGCAAATTAGGTGTTTGCTGTAGATGGGGTGAGCAGGTGGAATCAATGTAGCACAGGGCCTTAGAGCTCAAGCAGGGAAAAGTGGCAGTGAAGGGGGTTTGGCATGACAGTGGTATTGGAGCCCCTGAAAAGTGAAGAAAACCTCACCGTGGTAATGGTGGGAGTGTCTTCTGGCATGGATAATCAGAGCCTGAGCATGGTGAGGAGGCTGTCCACAAGTGTCCATGGTCCAGAGCAGAGTAGCAAAGGATAGGAGAATTGAGGAGGTGTCCCCAATAGGGGAAGGCTGGTGTGATATGTCAGCCTGTGAGAAGAGCCATCTATGTGGTCTTGTGGTCAGGTATGGGGAACATAAGCAGGATAGGGAAGTATTTATGCATGAAGTCACTTTCTGTGAGAAGTCAGAGCCCCTTTTGGGTGAGGAGTGAGTTCTTGGAGAAGTGCAGCCTGGCATAAAATCTCAGCATCTGGGAGCGGTGAGTAGACACCACTGAACAGTGTTAGTTCCAATGTTGATTGAGATTCAGTGCTTAAGTGTGATGAGGAGGGCATCCTTGCCAAAGGGTAAACCTGTGTGGATTTCAGAGACCAGGCAGGGTAAAGAGGATGTCTGTATGTAGAGAGTCCAGTGTTGGAACTCACCACATAAACAAGGTAAAGAAGGCATTAAATTTTTTTTAGTTATTTTTTAAAAAAATATTTTCTGCGTGACAGTAGAATGAAGAATGTATTTTGGCAGAACATAAATACATAAAGTATAACTTATTATATTTTGGTTCCCACTCTTTGTTCATACAAAATGTGGAGTTATACTGGTCATGTATACAAATAAAAGCCTAGGAGAGTTATGACCAATTAATTTGACTCTCTCCTATTCACCTCTCTCTTCCCTTCCCTTTGTCTCTCTTTGCTAGTCCAATCTATTTCTACTATTCCCCACTCCAACATCTCTTATTTTGGGTTAGCATCCACACATCATAGAGAACATTTGGCCTTTGTTTTTTTGGGATTGGCTTGTTTCAGTTAGCATGATATTCTCTAGTTCTATCCATTTTCTGGAAAATGCCATTATTTAATACTTCTTTTCTGTTTTCATTTTGGCCTTTGAAAAAATAAATCAGATTTGTGTGTATATGCCACATTTTATTTGCCCACTCATCCATTGAAGTTTGTCCATAGCTTGGCTATTGTGAGTTGAACTGCTATAAACATGGATGTGGCTGCATCTCTGTAGTATGCTGTCATTTGGGTATATGTTGAGGAGTGCTATAACTGGGTCAAATGGTTCCATTCCATGTTTTCTATGGAATCTCCATACTTCTTTCCAGAGTGATTGCACCAATTTGCAGTCCCCCTAGCAATGTATGAGAGTAACTTTCTCCTCACATCCTCACCAATACTTATTGTTACTTGTATCCTTTATAAATGCCATTCTGACTGGAGTGGGATGGAATCTTGGTGTATTCTTAATTGCATTTCTCTATTTGCTAGAGATATTGAATATATATATATATATATATATATATATATATATATATATATATATATTTGTATTTCTTCTTCTGTGAAATGTTTATTTTTGCCCATTTATTGACTGGTTTATTCATATTTCTGAGTTAAGTTTTTTTTTGGTACTGGAAATTGAATTTGGGGGTGATTGGCCACTGAGCCACATCTTCATCCCTATTTTGTGTATTTTTAATTTAGAGACAGGGTCTCACTGAGTTGCTTAGTGCCTTCCTTTTTGCTGAGGCTGGCTTTGAACTTGTGATCCTCCTGCCTCAGCCTCCTGAGCTGCTAGGATTATAGGTGTGTGCCACTGAGCCCAGCTGTGAGTTAAGTTTTTTGAGTTCTTTGTATATCCTTGTATATTCTGAATTTAATGCCTTATCTGATGTACTGGTGGTGAAGATTTTCTCCCAATCTGTAGGATCTCTGTACGCATTCCTTTTTTTTAAAAAAAATATATTTTTTTTAGTTGTAGATGGACAAATACCTTTATTTTATTTATGTGGTGCTGAGGATCAAACCCAGGGCCTCATACATGCAAGACAAGCACTCTACTGCTGAGCCCCAGCCCCAGCCCCTCTGTACACATTCTTGTTTGTTTAAAGAAGGAATTCTTGCTGGTAGTTGAGGACCTGGTATGGGATATCAAAGCCCAAGTAGGATAAACAAAATATCTACACAGAAGACAGACATGGTGTGGGTTTTATAAACTGAGCTGGATAAGAGAGCTCTTCCCATGTTGGCAAACCCCAGAAGGGAAATTGATCCTTACATGGTGAGGACTTCTATCCATGGGAGTAACCTTGTGTGGGCTGTGAGAGCTCAGGCAGGCCAGGATGGCTACAGATAAGCTTTAAGAATCTGATCTGATTCATCCTTAAAGAAAAGTAGAGCAGTAATACACCATCTCACTGACACATTCCTCTGTATTCCCAAGAAACCAGGCAAATTAAGATAACAATATGAATTGTTCATATTGGTCTTGGACTAGAATGTTCAGGTGAATACTATCTTGTAGGACACTGACTCTCTTTCATACGTGTTGTAAATTTGAGGGGTGTCTTAGCACAGGATCAGAACTTCAGCAAAGTGAGCAGAATGTTCATTTTGTGGGGTATAGTTGGCTGGCCCTGTGTGAGAACATCAATAAGAGCTAAGAGGGCTTTAGGCTAGGGTCAGAAGATTAGATTAAGGAGTAAGAAATGTATTAGGAAGAACAGTGTCTTAGGGAATCATGGCACAAGATGAGAGATTTGTAACATCCAGAGTATAATCAAATGATTTAACAAATAAGTAAAAAGTTACAGATAACGAACACAGATTTCTTTATGTCACTGACGTGTGGAAGAAATGTGGAAATTAAGAAAATGAAAATGAAATCTGAGGCATTGAATTAGAATTAGGGGTATTACTGTGAATTTAGTGATTTCAGTATATTTTTATATAAAATAAATATGTAAATCAGCAGAAACAAATATAGAAGTGAGAGAGAGGGAAAGATACGAGAGGAGATATAAGAGAAAAAATGTAGATATAAGAGAAAAAAAGAGTTAGGTAGGGTTATTATAAGAAGGGAAGTCATTTGGGGAGAACTGAGGCAAAGAACCCGGGCATGAGTTGGTTGAGAGCAGCTCTGTAGAATGATCCCACATGAAAGATTTAGTTTTTGGACTGTTTTCATTTTGGCCTTTGAAAAAAATAAATCAGATTTGACACTCAGTTTAAGTTCATCCTCTTCTACACGTGATTCCATTTAATTTTTCCTACTGTTTAGTATAGTCATATGTACCTTCCAGAGCATGTTGTTAAGGTGATGTGGGGGGTAAAAGGAGAGATAAGGGAAGAATAAAAGGTGGCATCCCCTTTTATTAAGGATTTCAGGAGATCTCAAGGTGGCCAGTAGCAAAATGAATGAAGGTTGATGATGGTGCTGATTGTGAACCGGAAGGAAAGCAGAGAGCACAGAGGACACCTTCAGACTTTTCATTCCCCACCATGCTAAAGGAAGGTGGCTCTGAACACAGGGAGGCTGTCATCTGAGATTTGTGTAATAATCACCTTAGAATGTGGCACAAATAAGCTGCCTGATCAGTCAAACCTGATGACATGAAGGTTGTTTGGGTAATAAGTTACGTTTGCATGTGGAAGCACAAATTTCAGTTTTCCTGGTGAGTTTACGGAATGAAGTTCTTAGGAAAGACTTCTCTAATTGCCTGATTCCTCTTTGCCTTTCCTTCCTATTTCTTTTGAGTTCCCACTTTTGTTACACTTATCTATATCTACTGTTTGAAGGCTGTGATTCTCATTCTGGTTGTCTTGAAGATGAGACCTCAGTGATTGTGTATAGGTATGTGTATTTTTATTACTTCTGCTTTCATCTAGGTAGAGTAATTTGCTCTAAGGCTGGAATCTCATTTGTAATACGTTTTAATGAAAAGATGGCATGGGATTTCTGAAAAAAGCAGAAGGTTTCTTCTCAAGATGGCTTTGGGAACAAATTATGCTGAAGTGAGTTTGAAAAATGAACTGAAGTCCTCAGGCATCAACTCAAATTCTCCTGCAGGTAAAAGATCATTTTCCAGTGGTCAATGTTAATTAATTGAGGTGAAGAATGAAGAGACAGTTGATAAGCACGGCAGAGGTAATTTTGTTGCTGTTTCTCTGAAGTATTCATGTCTGGGACACCCAGGAATGTCTGAGGATTGTGCTGCCTGTAGATAGGAATGAAGGTGTTTTAGAGCTGCAAAGTGGGGGAAAAATCCATAATACTTTCTTCACTCTTATCATTTACAGAAAATCAGATTTTGAATTTTATTGTATATCATTCCATATAGGAATATATAAAAATGTGTGTACCTATATTTCCAGAACTGAAAGAATATAATATTGAGTTTTTCCTCCTCACCACTGACAATATACATAATTTAAAATTTTTTTCTATTTATTTACTGCTTTTATCTTTTTTTTTTGCAGTGCTAGGTTTGAACCCAGGGTGTTGTGCATGCTACCAACTGACTTATATCCCCAGCCCTGTTAGTGCTTTTATCTTAATGGAAGTTACTGCAAGACCCCCACACCTTTGGTAGTGATCATTTTCAGGTTTTGTATATCCTAGGCAAATTTGCTGTAGCATGAAGCTATACCCCCTGTTGAGAAAAGGCTTTCTGACCATGAAATAGTGACTTAAAAGGTTGATTGTATAGTAAAAACATGAAAGTTGGTCATAATGATTTATCTTGTATAGCATATTATAAGTTGGACATAGTATTATTTAAATATGTAATGAAGTAATGAGCAACCATAACAAAAATATTAGTAAGAAATTATGTTGAAAAAGCATTTATGATACAGTATAAAAGAAAATAGTGAATCAGAATCAGTAAATGTGTATGTCAATGAAATGGAAAAATGTTCATATATGTTGTACACACTTCAAAAATTGCTGAAAAGACATGGGCCAAAATATTAACAATAGTTAATCTCAATGGCAGAAATATGTGCTTTTGGATATTTTATAAAGTTTTTTAAAAATAATAAACATAATTGACTTTATCTTATTTTAATTTTCATATTATTTCAAATATTCACATTAGTAGTTGTTGTGCTTTATGGGAGAAAATTAAAGAGTAGAAGAGAAAGATGTTAGCTTTTTATAACTGTGACCAAAATACCTGATAAGAACAACTTAGAGGAAAGAGCTTATTTTGGGACCAACATTTTGCAGTCCAGTCTTTGGTGAGTCAGCTCCATCACTCTGGCTCTGAGGTGAGGCAGAACATCATGGTGGAAGGGCATGGCAAAGTAGAGCTGTTCAGCTGATGGCAGCCAGAGGATCGTGGAAGTTTCCACAGAGATTTCAAAGCAAGACCTGAGGGTTCAAAGTGAAGCCGTGTTGGAATCTTTGCAGGATTCCCTCGAGAGGGCATGCATGAAGCTGTAAAGGGGAAGCTAAAGCTGGAATGGAGATCCCAGGGATAAAGATATGCCAGTAATGTGGAATGTCTGCTGAGGAAAGCTGTTGGCTGTAGATGGAGTCAGCCTAAGAAAAAGACAATGTGGATGACAACCAGCAAGATCATTTAGGTGGTGCTGCAGAAGCTCTTTGAAGATTACATCTCACCACAATATTACCAAGGTGCTGGACATGGAGTTACAGAAACTAATATCTGCCTGAGTTTGGGTTCCATCCTTTCCTTCTATATTCTTATTCCTCCTTTTTGGAATGGGAACATTTATTTATGCCATTGTATATTGGAAGTATGCAACTTGTAAGGACAGGCACTGATGATCAAAAGGAGGCAGATTAAAAGCAGCAGAATAAGGCTTTATTGAGATTCATTCCTGGGAGAAACCCTTGAGTTCAACAGAGTGGGTCTGGGAGAAATGCGCCTAGGCTCAGGATTGGAATTTTATTGGGCTCAGGGCAGGTAGGGAGGGCTTGGGACAGGAAAGGGAGGTTTTTAGAATCCCTTGTCTTCCTGGGGTTGGTCAGGGGATCTTGCCTGAGATCCATGTCCTTCCAGGATTGGTCAGGAGAGCCTGCTGATTGACAGGTGGTTATGAGGCACCATGACTGCTTGTCTGTTGGCACCTGTTTGATTGTTCTTTCATGCACTTCGGTTGCCTGGTGCTTTGTTTCCTTAGCCACCTGAAATCAACCTAACATCCCAGGCTTTTTTATGATATACGATGCCGAATTCCATCTGGCTACTTCCTCTTTGCTAGGGGTACTGGGGAGAAAGGGATGGCTTGGGTTTTGGTTTGGTAGGGAGGCAATCGTGGGCATGAAGGAGCATCTGGTTGTAGGTCACTCTGGCAATTTCACCCCTGCGCTTACAGGTAAACCTGAATAGGGAGGTAGTAATTATTCATAGAAGTCCAATTACTAATATAGGAGTGAGAATGGGAGTCAGCCACATAATGAGGGTTGAGTTTAGCCAGCCTGGTCATTTGATTGTTGCTGTTTAAGCTTTTCACCCCCAAAATGGAGGATGTTGACATTCTTTTTGACCAATCTAGTTTCATTGATGTAGTAGCAGCATTCTTCTTTCAGGAATAGACAGGTTCCTCCTTTGTCTGCTGTCAGGAGATCCAGGGCTTGATGGTTCTCTAGCGAAACTAGGGCAATCGATGTTATTTGCCTTTTCAGGGAAGTGAAAGAGGCGATGGATGCCTCTACCACTTCCCAAAGTTGTTGTTCAAGCTTCTGAGTAGTGGTTGCTGCATAACCAAGTCCTCCTGCCCCCAGTCTGGAGGCAGCAAGTGAGAAGGCCAGGGAGAGTTCAACTACTACTGGTAGAATGATGGCTCATCTTGCTCTGGAAAGGGAAGTAGTAACAAGCCATATTAATTTTTTGTTAGGGTACCATTGCACCTGAAAAAGAACCTCCAGAGGAGAAAAAGTTGGGGAAGAGATTCAAATGATCTGGTCACAGGGTACTGAACCAGAGGAAATGTAGCAGCAAGAGAAATTCCCTGATGAGTTATGAAAAAGGGGTACTTCCTGAAAGGCTGGAGAAGGGGATTCTTGGGGGTTGGTTGAGGTATTGAGAGGAAGATTAATGGGAATCACAGTTAAAGGAGTATGATACAAACCTGTGCAGAGGAAACAGTCTGAAATGTTATTAAATTTGGATAAATTGAGAAGCTGAAGGCCCTGATGTACTAGGGCCATCCATGAAAAACGGTCATCTTTAGGATGGGCAACTGCATCCATCCACCTTTCTCTTGCTCCTGGATGGTTATGTGAATTTGAGGGGACACTTGTACATAAGTTCTCCAGATTCTGATAGAGGCTGAGGGGAGCTTGGCAAAACCCCACGAATAAAATTTATGAACACCAGATGCTCATTTCATGTCCCATGGGTCCCAAATAGTTAATTTTGTGTATGCTCATTTTTCATAACAAGGCTTATCTACAAAGTGTGTCTTGCATGAATTATAAGGGCACCCACCATAGATGTTAGGCCGGCGCTTATAAGATTCCTAGTTTGGTCTGATATGAAGTACAGCATTGCTGCACGTATGTGGGACGAGGTGGCTTGGTTGAATCCAGTAATGATAAGGGTGACCACCTGATTGCAACCAGTGGAAAGGCAATTACCTTGACCCATAAACTGAGAGTGCATGGTGCCATCCTGGTGCCATGTTGCTTGGATGTAGAAGCACCATCTCTGGGTTGGGATAGAAATTTGTGAGAGAGTAATGATTAGTAAAAGAAGAAGAGGGTTGATGAGAAATCTTGAGCTTGGTGGGCCCCAGCATGGTGGAAGTCTAGGACTGGACATTTGGAACATGTGTCTTTTTAAGGCAGGAGACATGATATCAGGGGGAATGGCCCAAAAGCTTGGCTGCCATTGGCATAGTAAGTATGACTGTATGGGGTTTTGTCTAGCAAGATTCCAATGATTAAGGACACAGTTCCCAAAGTAAGACTGCATCACCTGGTTGAAGAGGGTCCAATTTAGTTTGTGGTTGCACTGGGATTGAGGCAATGGATGGTGCAGGAAGATATCAATCTGCACATTCCCTTAGGAGTTTGTGTAGAAGTGTGAGATATGGCAGGTAGAACACAAGGGGACTAAGAGTGATTGGAAAGCTTTGGTTGATTAAGAAAGGGTGCCCATAGAGTATCTCAAAGGGGCTAAAGCCTGAGGGGGCTCTAGGGGCTGCCTGAATTTGGGTGAGGGCTAATGGCAGGAAATTGGGCCAGGAAAGCCTGAGTTCAATAGCAAGTTTAGTGAGATGTTTAGTGAGATGATCCTTGAGAATGCCATTAGCCCTCTAAAACTTACCTGAGGATTGGGGATGGTAGGGGATGTGGATCCTCCAAGTGGTGTTGAGGCCTTTGGAGACTAGTTGAACAACCTGAGAAGTGAAGGCTGGACCATTGTCTGACTGAATGGAGTTAGGAAGTCTGAACCTGGGAATGATCTGCTCAGTGAGGATGGAGGTGATGGTGTCAGTTGTTTCCCTGGAGATAGGAAGTCTTCTATCCAACCTGAAGAAGTATCAAGCAAAGTAAGTAGGTAGTGAAGCTTTTAGTGCCTAGATATGTGAGTGAAGTTGAGCTGCCAGTCTTCGCCTGGCTGGTGACCCCTCATCTGATGTGTGGGGAGTTTAGGTTTGATGCCCCCTTGTGGGATACTGTAGAGCAGACAGAACAAGTGGAGTGGACCTGCTGGAGAGTAGTTCTCATTCCTAGGGAGTAAAAGAGTGGTTGTAAAAACTGGAAAAGGGATTTGGGGCCAATTTGAAGAGAGTTATGAATGTCCATCAATAAACTGTAAGCTTGCTGTTTAGGGAGGGCAATTTGATCCCCCAGGAAGATCTGGCCATCCTCCCCGAAATGGCCACCTTGGGTTATTAGGTCCTGTAATTCTTATGGGGAATAGTTAAGTTTAATTGTGGGGGATATAAATAGGGTAGGGGCTGCTGAGAATTTTTCCGTTAGTTCTCGTGCTATGGAGTCTGCTTCGTTGTTGCCTATAGCTATAGGATCAGAGGAAATTTGATGTCCTCTGCAGTGTATGATGGCCACTTATGATGGCAGTTGCAGTGCCTCTACAAGTTTGGAAATCAGATTGGCATTGACCACTGGTGATCCCTTTGTGGTCAAGAATCCACGTTCCTTCCAAATAGCCGAATATGAATGAGCAATTAGGAAAGCATGTTTGGAGTCCGTGTATATGTTAACCTGTTTGTCTTTGGATAGAGTGAGAGCTCTGATAAGTGCAAAAAATTCAGCCTTTTGGAATGTGGTCCCTTCAGAGAGGCAGTCAGCTTCTAGAACTAAGGCAGTGGTGACATACTGCATATGCATCTTTACATTGTTTGTCACAACCCATTACAGAACTGCTGTCCACAAAAATGGTTAAGTCAGATGAGGAAATTGGGTAACCAAAGAAGTCCTCATGGGGTGATCGCAGTCCTCTAGCACCTTAGGACAGGAATGGTTAGCATTTAAAGAGGGTGGGGATGGGGGGGGAGTGTGGCAGGATTGAGGGAAGATGAAGAACAGAGGGTAATGGTGGAGTTTTCTATAAAGAGAAGGTGGAATTCTTGAATTCATGAAGGGCTCAGAGGGGAAGAGATTTTGATTTAAGAGGTCCTGTAGTCAATGGGTGGAGAATACAGTTATTGGTTGGAGCAAGGTAAGTTTTGGGACTTTCTTAGTTAGTTCTGCAGCTGCTGCCCATGCTCAAAGGCATGGTAGCCATCCATGAACCGTAGCATCAAGCTGCTTGGACAGGTATGCCACTGGCTTATAGGAAGGTCAAGTTGGTTGAGTGAGGAGGCCTGTGTTGATACCCTGTCTTTTATGTGTATGGAGGAAAGGATGGTTAGGGTTAGGAAGAGATAAAGTGGGGAAGATGTGAGAGCATCCCTGAGTTGTAAAAGGAGTTGGCTACTGGGTTAGGGGAGGTGAGGGACTCATGAGGGGGTGTCCTTAACTGTCTGGTATAAGGGCTTGACAGGACATGCAAAGTTGTGGAGCACTGCCTGAAAAAGCTAGCCAGACCCAGGAAGGAGAGAATGTAGTCTGCTGTTTTGGGTGGCTGTAGGTCACGGAGCGCTTGAATTTTGTCTGTTGTCAGGCTTCTAGAGGTTGGAGTGAGGAGTATACCTAATTGGTGACTGAAGAGGTAGTAAGCTGGGCTTTGGCTGGAGAGTTCCAATATCCCTGGGACCCTAGGAAATTGAGGAGCTGAGCAGCGTGAGTTTGGGAAGTCTTGAGGGATGAACTGCATGGGAGAAGGTCATCCACATACTGTAAGAGAGTGCTATCCTGCAAGTCACAAGTGGTTAGATCCTGTGCCAAGCCTTGCCCAAAGAGGTGGGGACTGTCCCTGAAGCCTTGGGGTAGAACTGTCCATGTCAGCTGTTGAGACCTAAAGGATACATGTGGAATCTTCCCATGAAAAGGCAAAGAGATAATAAGAGTCAAGATGACAGGCACTGTAAAGAAGGTGTCTCTAAGATCCAGGACCGTAAAATGAGAAAGGGTTGGGAACCACTGGGTTAATGGGAATAACTGCCTCATTAATTAGGTAAAGGTCCTGGTCTAAGTGATAGGCTCCTGAGGGATTGTGTACTGGCAATATGGGAGTGTTGCAGGGCGAGTCAGTAAGGATGAGGAGTCCCTGGGCAAGTAACCAGTATGATAGTTTTAATCCCCTCCCTATGGGTTTTGGAGATGGGAAACTTGGGATTCAAAGGAAATTTAGTTTGAGGTTTCAGTTGGATATGGACTGGCTTGCAGTGGGAAGCTATGACCAGCTTGGAGGTGTCCCAGATCAACGAGGTCAGGAGGCAACAGCATGGTAGGTACTGTTGGGTTATTAGAGAGAATAAGAGTTAGAGATAGAAGAAGATGGGTGGTAGTATTTTTGGGTTGTTGTTGGAGGGTGGCTTCTAATAATTGGAGAACATCTATGCCTAGGAGAGGAACTGGATAGGATGGAATGACCATAAAATAGTGTGTGAAAGGATGTTCCTCCAGGGCACAGGCCAGCTTAGCAGTTTGGTTTGGGAAGGAGGGTTTTCTACCAATCCCCATAACTGAAACCTGGGATGGAAACAGAGGCCCAGAGTGGGCAAGTAAGACAGAATGTGTAGCCCCTGTGTCCACAGGGAAAGTTATAAACTTACTGGCTATCTGGAGTGTTACCTTGGGCTCCCTGAGGGTGATGAGGGTCCTCGAGTCTGGGCTTCTTTAGACTTCTGCAAACCCCAGTAGTTAAAGAGATGGTACCTCCTGGCTGGTTATACACTCGTGTGGAGGTTTGGTTTGAGAGATGATTATTTACGTTTTGGGCACAATGTGTTAACCCAGAATGTACATGTCCTGTGGGAGGCATATTTTCCTGGATTTTAGGAGAGAGAGGTCTGGAATTTTGGAAGTCATTTACATAATGATAGCAAGTCCTACATGGGAATATATGCTATCACTCCAGAAGAGGATTTTAAACAAGAAGTAGGGATTAGGAAAGAACTCTTGGACATGCTACATTTTTTTAACGTGAATGGAGGAAGAGAGCAGAAGGAAGAAGATAAGAAGCAGCAGTAAGAAAGGTGAGGCAGGAACAGGAGAGAACAGTGTACTAAGAGCTAAGGTGGAAGACCTGGGTTAAAGATTACAAGAAGGCCATTAGAAAATGACTAATAAATGGTCCTAGAAAATTACTGATGATCCATTTCAAGGATGATTTTAATGAAATGATGGAAGCCAAACCTGAATGAAGTGGGTCAAGGAATAAATAGGGGATTATAGAAAAACAGGAAATTTAATTTCTTGCAGTAGTGTTTATTAACCCAGGGCCTTGTATTTTCTAGGCAAGTGCTGTGATACTGAGATATTACTGCATTTTAGAAAATCCAATTTCTAGAGGTGGGGATGAGTGAGTTCTAAATTGGGAGAGACACACAAAAGAGATGAAGAGCAATGTTCTCTTGATCAATATTTAAGATCACCCAGAATTGGTTAAAATTAGCAATTTCTTCCTTCCCTCAAAGTCCCAGGTTGTGTATTTCCTTAAATAACTTCCACTCCCATCCCACAAAATTTAGCCTTTGTTTGCATCTTGGGTTACCTCTGGAAGGAGACTATGGATAACATCCTTCAGATCCCATTATGATGGAACTTTCACATCTTCTTCCAACTCCTCCTCTTTCAGCTATTCCTGGGGGTACCTAATATTTCCAAAGCAGTAGAATTAGGATTCCATTGACTGAGGGGTCATGGGGAAACTTTTTCTGTCAGGCTCTGTCCAATTGGGTAATTGGACATGTGTAGATTTTGTCCATAGAATGCAAGAAAGCAATGTAAACAGCAATGATCTAATGCTACCAAAAATTGATCGGTTTTATTCTATTTTCCAGGTTTCTTTCAAAAAAATTCTCAGCTGCTTGAAGACAAAAATTATAAAAGATTTATAAAAGAAATGATTCACACAAATTTGAAGTGTGTAAGAATCAATTCAACCATGGAAGGTAAAATTTCATGTGCCTAGAATTCAGTTGCTGATTGTAGTATGTAAGAGTCCCAAATCAGTCTTTATGATTTCCAGGTAGAACACACTAAGTAGTGGAGTCTCCTGGTCATTCTAAGCTACAAGCGTAGAATCGTAGAATCTAACATTCTTTATTTATTATTTATTATTCATTTATTTATTTCTATGTGGTGCTGGATGATCAAACCCAGTGCCTCACATATATGAGGCAGGTGTTGTACCACTGAGCTATAGTCCCAGCCCAGAATCTCACATTCTTATATGGATATTTAAAGTTGTTCATGTGAAGCTGGATTTGGAAAAAGGATATATTGTTACTGTATTTCTTTAGACTGTTCTTCTTTCTGAGGTTTCTGCAAGGGTAGTGTTTTTCTCACATGTCAAAAAAATTGATAAAAATGAAGATGAATATATTATTGTGAATGTGAATTTTTTAACCTTTAAATAGGGTGTTTTAAAACATTTTTAAATTGACAAAAATTGAGCAGATAACGTTAAAAGATTGTATTTTAGGCCTACCTTGCACACACAGTGCCCATTATTATTATCCTATTCCTAAGTAAGGACATTTGTTACAACAAATGAACCAATATTCATAATTTTCTTCCCTTTGGTACTAGGAATTGAAATCAGTTTTTCACACAGGCTAGGCATATCTCTATCACTGAGCCATTTCCCTAGCCCAACATTCTTGATTTTCCCAATTTTTAACTCATTCTTTTTCTATACTATAATCCTGTGCAGTCCTCCACATTCCATTTGTTTGTCATATCTCTTTAGTTTCCTCTTTGCCTTGATATTTCTTCAGATCTTTCTTGTTAGATGACTCTGAAAATTTAGGGGAATACCATTCTGTATATTATTAGTTGTCTCTGTGTTAAAATTTGAAGTTTTTCTTCTGATTATAGGTGGATTATTTGTTTTTGGGAGGAAGGTCACAGATATAAAATGCTATTCATCACATTAGTTCCAGGTATATATTATCAAAGTGAATGTTGACTATTGATGCTGAACTTGATCACCTGAGGTGGTGTTTGTCATGTTTCTCATTGTGAAGCTACTTTTCCCTCTCCTATTCCCACACTATACAGTTCATAAGGAGGTTGCTACGTGCAGCTAATGTTTTATGATGGAGGAGTCATGCTCCCGTTTATTAGGGTGGTGTATTATGTTAGCACTCTCCAGAAGAACAAAAGAAATATGAACATGGATATTTATTTTAAGAACTTGACTCATGGAAATGTGGGGGCTTGATAAGTCCAAAATTTGATCTGGGTAACTTCCTGAAGACTCAGGAAGGAGTGGCAGATGGAGGCCGAAGAATGTCTGCTAAGCTTTTAAAATGTTATTATATTTTTCAGTGATAAAATTTCCATTTTTTACATCTTCTGTTTTTTGTTGAGTCTACTTTTTTGTTTTTTTCTTTTTTAATTAAATTATTTATTCATCATAGTTTGTTATGCATGATGGCAGAATGCAATTCGTTTCATATTACACCAAGAGAGCACAATTTTTCAAGTCACTGATTGCATATAAAGTATTGTCTCACCATTCTTGTATTTAGGGTAATGATGTCTAACTCATTCCACCATCATTCGTACCCCTCTGCCCCTTTCCTTCCCCCCCCCTCCCTTTGTCCTAACTAAAGTTCCTTCATTACTCCTATGCTCTCCCCCTCCCACTCATTGCCAGTATGAGTCAGCATTCCTTTGGTGGAATGTGGTTTGTGTTGGGTACCAGAGGTTGAACTTTGGGCTGCCAAACCCCTGAGCCACATTCCATCTCCCCCCCTTCTTTTGTTTTATTTTTTTAAAATTTGACACAGGGCTTCTCTAAGTTACTTAGGGCTTTTCCTTTGTTTCAAGATTGTTTGTATCTTCTTGTTGAAGCATTTTTTATCATTGTTGCTTTAAAATCTTTGTCAGATAATTGTAACATTTTTGTTTCTTCTTTTTTTTTTTTGCAGCTATTGATTATAATTTTTTTACTAAAATTGAGAACGTCCTGGTCCTTGGTATGATTATTTTGTTTTTGTTGAAACCTGGATATTTCTATTTTGAGATTTTGGGGTTTAGGTTTTATTTAAACATTAATATTTTAGCTGCTTTTTTTGTTTGTTTGTTTTTTTGTTTTCCTGATACCAGTTCAGCAGGTGAAGGGGTCTTGACACATTATTGCCTGCTTGAAGCAACTTGGCTCCTTGGCACCTGAGGAAAGAGGTCTCCTTGTTATATCTGAGTGAATATGGGATCTGCAGCTTTCATGCTGTTTCTCTTGGTATGTAAATTTAATAATAGAAGCATTTAAAAAGCACTTTCATATAACACACATACTTGCCCTTCTTGCCTACAAAGGAAAAGTCTGGAGCTGTTGCCCGCAGAATTGGAAGTCATTTAGTTCCAGTTGCTACTTTTTTTCTACTGATGCAAAATCTTGGAAGGAGAGACAGGAGAACTGCTCTAGAATGGAGGCTCACCTGGTGGTGATCAACAGCAAGGAAGACCAGGTACTTTCTAAGGCACAATGGAGTCATGAACCTGTCTGACTTTTGTACTTGTCTTTGCTAAGAAGGGATATTGATGCTGTGGCAGAAGACTTTCCAGAAGAAAGACAGGAAAGGCTCCCTCAACCTTCCCATTCCACACCTTGTATCTTCTTCAGTGTAACTAACCTACCACCAGGGATATTGTGGCATTCAACACTTAAGACCTGGGGGTTTAGTGAAAGGATGAAAATATTTCTGCCTAAAATAGAAGTTGGTTATTTCAATATATAACTGTTTTCTGAATGATCAACTTCTTAACAGAAAGGAGAATTAACTTCAATGGGCAAAGTTAAATCAAGAGACTCACAATCAGCAATCAGAATGAAATTTTAAGAATTTATGAAATGCTGGTTGTTGTGGTACATGCTTGTAATCCCATGGGCTTGGGAGGCTGAGGCAGGAGGATCTCACGTTCAAAGCAATCCTCCACAATGTAGCTTGCTAGGCAATTTATCAAGACCCTGTCCCTAATTGAAATATAGGGAATTGTGCTTGGGGACTGGGGTTCTGGCTCAACGGTAGAGTGCTCGATTAGCATGTGTGAGGCCCTGGGTTCAATCCTGAGAACCATATAAAAATAAAATAAAGATATCATGTCCATCTAAAACTAAAAAATAAATATTAAAAAAAAAGAAATGGTAGGGATGTGGCTCATTGGTTAAGCACTCCTGGGTTCAATTTTGGGTACCAAAAGGAAAGAAAAAATCCATGATATAATGAAAGTAAATTGATTAATTTCTTAAGAATTTTCTCATGTGCAACCTTGAAGAATATTTTCTCAGTGAAGAAAAGAGGGAAGTTGAATTTGAGATGAGAGTTCATTATGATTGTAGGTAAGAATTGCTTCCATATTTAATAAAATTAAGATAAAAATAAAATCACAGATTATATCTTTTATCCTGTTGTGCTCAAAGATCTACAGTTCTGAGGTCCCCTCTCCATCTGGTCATTCCTGAACCATCTCCTTTTGTTTTCATTTCTGTATGACCATAAAGAGTTCAGTTGAAAAATCACACTGTACCTTTAAATAAGTATAATTATTAGTTGTTAGTAAAATCTTTAAAAATATGTAAAGAAGATGGAAATGTGAACTCTACCAATTTTATCATTATACACTGTGTATATGTATCAAATTATCATGTTACCTGATAGATTTTACAATTCAAACAAGAAAGAAGAAATAAATCACCAAAATTCTTTAAAAATATTTTTATTGGTGAATTTTATTTACACATGCGAGTGGAGTTCATTCTGTTTTATTAACACCAGTATCTAGCATGATTTGGCAAATTAAAAAAAAAAAACAACCTCAGTTCAAGCTGAGTATCTAAAGTCTATGACTTCTTTTCTTTTCCTTTTCTTTTAGGATTTCCTGACTCAGAATATGGATAAAAACGCTGCTTATTTTATGGGGCTATCAGATCCAGAGGGTCAAGGACACTGGCAATGGGTTGATCAGATCCCATACAACCAAAGTGCCACATGAGTACAGAATTAGATAAAGGAATCCTGGGTCCTGGGTCATGCAGGAAGTTTAGAGTGTTCCAGCATCAGTTCTGAAATTTAAAAAGTTCACTCTTGTCCTATTGCACACATAGTTAATCAATTTTATTACCTCATTAAATTATCACAGAACCCTAGGAGGCACACATTATTTTTCCTATTATAGAACTGAGGAAATTGAGTTTGGAGAGTATAGATAGTTCAGCTAAGGTCACCCAACAATATTCTTTAGAACCAGGTGGATTCTACTTTGCTTTTAAAAACTCTATTGATTCTCTGTAATAAAAATTCATGTTTTTAAAGATCATTATGGATTATCATGATTTAATATTTCTCATAAAGCAAAAATTCTTTCTTTGATACGATTACAATATCTCATATTTATGTAATCTTTAAAGACATTTAAATACATTAGTATACTCCCACCTTTGATCCTTATATCTTCTTTGTGAAATATATAGTGCTGTTACTATGGTCCAGTTTTTAGATGGGCAAACTGAGAATCTAAAAAATTAAATTATTTGACCTAGAAAATAGGAATAAGTAGAAGATCTAGAGATTTTACGAGTTCTTCAGATTTCAAAATCATCCCATTAAAATGTGGAAAAAAGCATATATTGACACATGGGACCATGGTGACTTCTCTTCATCATACAAGAAAGGCCCATGGATTGACAGTCTCCTGGCAACAGGTCCTATGTTTAGAGTAGAGCCCATGGCCCAGTGTTTAGTGCAATAAGGTATGAGAAAATGTGAGTGATGAGGGCACCATTTTCAAAATAAATGCCAGAGGTGTGGGTGGAGGAGAAACTGCATGAGAATTGGGAAGGGTTGGTGTGGGCATATCTGACCCTGAATTCCACAAAATTCCACCACAGCTTCTGACCCCATAACTAACTTTATCCCCTTTAAAAGCAGTCTTGGAAGAATCACTTCATCCTTTTTCTCTGTTTCAGATTCTGGCATCTAGGTGAGCCAAGTCATAGTGAAGAGCATTGTGTTATAGTAAATCATCGTCTTCCATCATTGCAATGGGGCTGGAGTGATATACTTTGTAAAGATCATCAATGATCAGTTTGTGAAATGATGAAGATCTACATATGAATCAACACTTTTAATGGACATGTGTTTGGATTAGCATTCATTATTCTAGAGCTAGCTCATAAGTTCTTCTTTATGAAAGACATTCCATAGACTTTTAGGTATGTGGTCAACTATTCCACTTTTGAGGAAATGTTAGTGTTGCATATGGAATTCATCAGTTTGCTTCCTACAGAGCTCCTAATAAAATAATTGTGGGGGACTTTTACTTAATGTACAATGAATTTACTCCATATTATTTCTGTACCATAATGATGGTACAGAATTTTCAAAAGATACATTTTACTCAAAATGCCTTTGACTGTCTCAATAAAGAGAGTAATTGAAAAGGAGTGAAATATCTTATCCTGTGTGTAGCCAATGCTGGAACTCTTCTCTTCACTCTACCTTGTGTTGTATGAGTGTGTTTCTGTGTCTTTTATTTATTTTTCTCTAGAGCATCTTTACATCAATGTGTGTGAACAGGTTTTATGTGAGGTTTGTGTTTAAAGAGTGATATAGAATCAGAAACCATCCTACTAAGTGCTAATTACTGAAAAGGATTGTAAGAAGTAATACAGCAGTTATGGTTTTAAGCCACTAAGATTTTGGGTAGAATGTTCAGTACTGGGGAGAATACTTTTACTTTCAAGCATCTATCAGTTTGTAGAAATGATAATGTTGAAGCTGGCTGAATTTTCTTAAGGCGGAGATTTGCTACAACTGACAACCCTGTAGATCCCTTTGGATGTAAATTTTATTCAGATGATTTTAATAATGAAACATGGATTATGTTAAAGATTAGATATGAGGTATCTCCCAAAAGTTTATGTGTGTGACAATGAAAGAAAGTTTGGAGTTGACATGATGGGATATGAGAACCTTCACCCAATCAGTGCATTAATCCCCTGATAGGGACTAAATAAATTTTAAGTGTAGGCATGTAGGGTGTGGCTGAAAGAGGTGAGTCACTGAGAGTGTACCTTTGAGGTGGGTATTTGGTTATGGTGGGAGGATTCTGTTTTTTTTTTCTCCCTCTCTGCTTCCTGGTGGGCATGTCCTGAGCCACTGTTCTCCTCTACACCTTTCTGCTCTGATGGTCTATTTCACTTCAGGCCCAGAGCAATGGGAGCTGGCCATCTATGGACTGAGACCTTTGAAAGCATGAGCCCCAGATGAAAATTTTCTCTTCTAAAATACTTTTCTCATTTATTTTGGTCACAGTTGCAAAAAAGGTGACTAAAACAGATTAGAAGTCCTTTCTTTTCCTACATGGAAATCATCAGTAGTGCACACTTGTTGGGAATGAGTTCAGTGATTCAAGGACAGAAGAAATAATGAGGCACAGTTCAGCTGTATTAAAGCAATTGTTCAGTGTAAAGTTTTGATGAAATATTGTGTAATAAAATTTTGGATGAAATGCTTTGGAGTAGTTAAAAATGTTGTAAATGGAATTTTTAAAATGAGGAACCAGCTTTGAGGATTGTGGTTCATGTTTGCTGTCTATTCATCCCTTCTCTCCCTCGAAAATAATATCTCAATATTATTTAAAGTCACACTTTCCTTCTTGAAGCTCGTGTGACTTGGGATGCTGTGAGTCAATATGGATTAATCCAAGTCAACAACACAATCATACTAGTGATTGGTTTAGGAATAGCACGAATTGTTAGTCCTGCTAAGAAATTGCTTCTTCCTCTTCTCAGAGGAATCAGGGAGTGAATCTCCCTCTCTTAATGAACATGAAAGGTCCTGTTCACAACTGACAGTCATACTGTTACCATGAGGGGAAGTAGTCTTCAAATGATAGAAACACCATGGATGGCAGAGTCGAGCCATGGGAAGAATTTGGTTATTTAAGTTCTTTGTGAGTCACTAAATGGACTATTTTCACAGCATAGCCTACTATGAGGTTTTATTGTGAAGGCTAATAAATTTCTAATTATTTGTCAGATTGAATCCTGATGGATTAAGAAAATACATTACTTTTAGTGACTAGATTTTATTGAGGTATAGTTTACATAAGTACAAGGCACACACTTTCTGAGTATAGTTCCATGATTTTGTCAAGTGTATGCAAACCTGTAACCACCATGATTATCTACAATAAAGATTTCTAGCATTTCCCAATGCTCCCTGTCCTAACAGTATGAATGCAATGTTCTGATTACTGCTTTTCAAATTCCATATAAAGCAGATAACAAAGTTTGCTTTTTCTTTTTACTTTCCTTATCTCAATATGTTTGTAGGATTCTCCTAAGTTTTTTGTATTTTTTCATTGGTAGATTCAATTTTTTTATGGAGTTGTGTTTCATTGTAACATGTTCTCTAGCATGATCTATTTATCTGAATTGCTGTTGGGTAAGCTTTGAATTATTTTTAATATCTTATCTATTATGAATAAAGCTTCTTCTTTTACATGGCTTTCTGTGTAACTCTGCATTTTTTTTCTTAGAAATGTGCTCAGGAATGGAATGTACTCACACCAGAGTATTATAAAGAATAGTATTAGTGCCCTAAAATTTCTCTGTTTCAGTTACTATCCTTTTCTTCCTGACAACTCCTTGTATTTACTGTTATGCTTTTGTCTTTTACAGATTGTCATAATTTGGATTCTACACAGATTTTTTTCTGAAGTCCTCTTACTGTTAGTGATGTGCATTTAAGATTCCTCCATTTTATTTTATGGCCTGTTGATATTTCTTTTTATTGCAGAAAATATTCTACCACAGTTTATTCATCCATTGAAGTACATGTTTGTGGGAGTCCATCCTCGCACGTGATTTGAGTTACCTCTCTGGCTGGGCGAGAGGCGCTTAGGCACAGCTTTGTCAGAGCTTTCCCCACCCTTCTCCAGGTCCGAGGGTTTGTCCGTGCAGAGGTGTGTTTGGCCATTACCCTGAAGACCCAATCGTTGCCCCTGACCTTGGGATGCTGCCCCCCTTAATCTTCATTGGATGGGATTTTCCCTAGAATTTTTTGTTCCCCAATAAAAGTCCACTCTCTGGCATGTTCTCTCTGTCTCCCTAGCCTCTTCAGTAAATCTTGCTACCACATAGGTGGCTGGAGGCTGGAGCTAGGAGGAGTTTTCCTGGAGCTGGTTTAAAGGTAATTAGAGTCATGTCTCTAATTGAAAACTCCCTAGTGGTTTCTCACATCTGGAACCTTCTTTCATGAAGGCTGTGCGGGTCGCGGGCTAAACATGTTGATTGAAAAAATGTTTGACACTTATGAATGAAGTTTTATTTGGCCTCTTGTGGAGGGTTTTGTGTGGACATGTTTTCTGTTCATTTGTGTTAACACCTAGGAACACTCTTGTTGACTTGGGTGTTAAGACTATACTGAGAACTCTCTTCCAAAGTGGCTATCATTTTGCATTTGACCAGCCATGAATCAAAGTGTTCCTATTGTTACATTTCCTTGCCAGCATTTGGAATTGACAGGTTGTGAATCTTGTCCGTTAATATGTGTGCTGTGGTGTCTAATTTTTAAAATGTTTTCTCCCTATCAATTACAATGTAAACTCCTTGAGTGCAGGTATTTTGATTTGCTCACTGTTGAATCCTCAGACATAACAGTATCTGGCCCCAAGTATTCACTTAATAAGTACTGATTGAAATAGAAACTGAGTGTCTCTGCAGGAGTGGCAAAGAGTTGTCCAACACTGTCTGGGTAAATTTCATACAGGGTAAAATGTTTGAAAATTTATCAAGTTTGGAAATTTAAGCCAAATCCTACATTCTAGCTTTTGTCAATAATGAAGTCCATGTGTGATGTCTGTTATATGCATGCATCTATTTGGGTAGGGACAAGGGAAGAGAGGGGTATTATTTATTGGCTCCCTAAAGCCACAATCACAAGATCCATAAAGGATGAAATAAGTAGAAATTTTCTGGTTTGTTTTTTTATTGATTTAAAAAGAATCAATGACAACGGAATGCATTATAATCCTTATTACATGTATGTAGCACAATTTTTCCTCTTTGGTTGTATATAAAGGTGTTGACACCAATTCATGTCTTCATACATGTACTGTGGATGATGGTGTCTATCACATTCCACAATCAGAAATTTTTATTTTAAAATTTAAAATTTATTTTTAAATGATACATAATTAAATTGTGCATATTATGGGGTACAATGTAATGTTTTAACATATGTATGCGTAGTGTGGTGTTTAAATCACGTTAAACATATTTGTCTCCTCTAAAATTTATCAGTTCTTCATGTAAAAACAGTCAAAATGCTTTTTTAAATTAAAAAATACATATTTTTTAGTTGTAGATGGACACAATATCTTTATCTTATTTACTGTTATTTAATGTTGTACTGAGGATTGAACCCTTTGCCTCAAACATGCTAGGCAAGAGCTCTACCACTGAGCCAAAACCTCAGCCATTAAAATTTTTTTCCTAGCATATTTTTATTAATGCATTATAATTGAGGGCACAGAGTAGTGTCTGCTTTCAGGATCGGAGCTGTGCTGCAGATGTTAGCAGAGGGGCAGCCTGACAAGTGGAGATGCTGCTGACTTCCCAGCAGAAACCTGAGAACACTAGATGTATACAATCCCTATTCAGTCTCCCAGATTCATGAGGTAAAACTGTTTTTATAACAAATCCTCTAAAAATTGTTTTTCAGAAGTAGCATTACCCAATCTGTCCTAAAGGAGCATGCATTAGTGACAGATAGTGGGACTTTACTTCATTGTAATACTAAAATCTCCATGCAGGGAAAAACCAAAGCCTCATTTCCATAACATGGAAAGTATAAGGAAGCATGTTGTCAGACTTCCTTGTGCAGGAAAGTCCCCACCCACGTTTGTGATGATGTCTTTTCTGGACCAGGTCATGCATTCCCTGCCAAATAAACTGCAGCTTGCTCTGGCAGACAGCAGGGCTTTGGGAGCAATTCTCCATTTGCAAACAAATTTGGCTCCATGTCATTATTTTTGGTGTTATGTTCTGCCTGGATTCTCACCAAGAGGTGGATCCATTAATTTGGGTCACACAGTCATTGTTCAAGAACTAGAAGAATTTTGATGCTGTGTGTAGAGGGGGTGTTGTCACAGCCCACCATCCCTAAGCTCTGGGTTCTTGCTGCTTATGGGGAAGGTGCAAAATGCAAAAGCACAGCAGGTGGGAACTACAGATTCTTATTTTCTCTGAAGTGCTTCAGGCTGGCCTTGGTGCAGCAACCTTGGGGATGCATACATTTCTCCTGCTCACCTTCTGAACCCAGGCCCAGGTTTTACTGCTGCAGCTGCTGCAGGGACTTGGGCACCTTCAAGATGGTTTCTGTTGCATGGACAGTACCCTGCAGCAGCATTTGCATATTCTTCCTGGAGACCAGTCTTTTTCTCCAAGAACAGGGCCAGAACTGAGCTTTGGGGCTCTGGTTATTCATTGGGCTGTTGCCCCCACAACCCTCCGAGAACCCTATCAGGAAGTCAATCATTGTCAGGATTGGTCATATTCAAAGGGCACAGGTCCTGGAACCTTCAAACTTGGCAACTGTGTCTGCAAGATCTTCATTATGCCTCCATGTGTCTTGGTTTGTCCGTGTTTCACAATCTAATTTTTTTTTTTAAATCAGGTATTGAATACTTCCAGTGATTTTATTTTTTAATTCTAAATTTTCTTCAAATATATCAATTTTAATCAACACATTAATCGTGTTGGTTAAATCCTATTAATAGGATTCCCTGTGATATTTTCTTAAACCCATACAGCCTGCACTGATCATATCCATATCTTCTCTTCCACCTCCTCCACCCCAGCAGCTTTCCCAGTTGCTAGTAATCACAATTTTACATTCAGGCTAACCTTTTCACATACTTTTTTTTAATAGGTCAGAAAATAAGATGCTTTCTTCCTCTCTCTGATATATTTTGCTTGCCAAGATTTCCTCTAGTTCCATATTTTGCTACAAATGACAGTATATCTTTCTTTTTTTAATAATTATTTTTTAGTTATAGATGGACACAATCTCTTTTTTAATATTTATTTTTTAGTTGTACACAATACCTTTATTTTGTTTATTTATTTTTATGTGATGCTGAGGATTGAACCCAGGCCCTTGAACTTGCTAGGCAAGGTCTCTGCTGCTGATCCACAACCCCAGCCCCACAATATCTTTATTTTATTTTTATGTGGTGCTGAGGATTGAGCCCAGTGCCTCTCCCATGCTAAGAACACGCTCTACCACTGAGCCACAACCCCAGCCCGGACATCTTTCCTTTTAACGAGTGAATAATACTCCATTGTGTATATACACCATATTTTCTTCATTCCATCTGTTGGTTAATGGGTACCTAGGCTGATTCCATGTATTTATGAATAGTGCATGCAGTCAGTGTAACTGTCTCTTTTATATGCTGACTTCATTTTCTTTGGATATATACCCAGGAGTAATGTTGATTGATCATATGATAGTTCCATGTTTAGTTTTTTGAGTATCTTCACCATGTTTTTCATAGTGGCCATACCAATTTACATTTTTAACATCAGTATATAAGAGTTCCCTTTTCTCTATGGCCTCACCAACATTTGTTAATTTTTGTTGTTTTGGTAATAGTCATTCTAAATAGGGTGAGAGTTTATCTCCTTTTAGTTTTGGTTTGCATTTGCCTGATGGCTAATGACATTGAGCATTTTAAAATACATTTATTGGTCATTTGCATTTTTCTTTTGAGAAATGTGTATTTAGATCATATACCCATTTTTATTTGGATGACTTGTTTTATGTTGTTAAGTGTTCTTTTATTTTCTTCTATAGTTCAGATAATAAGCATGTGTAAGATTAATATTTGGCAAAGATTTTCTCCCTTCGTGTAGGTCATCTCTTCACTCTGTTGACTTTTCATTTGCTGTGTAGAAGTTTTTTAGTTTGATATAATCCAACTGTCAGTGTTGCTTTTTATTTCTATGCTTTTGGGAAATATCCTGCTTTTGGTCCTACCTAGAAAGTCGTTGCCTGTACCAATGTCTTGGAGAACAGCATTAGGGAGGGGTAAGGAAGTCAAGAGTTCTTTAACTTGCTTGTTCTAAACAGAGCTGAGGAGAATGTTTTCTCTTTCTTCACAGTTAGATGACCTGATCATTGAGTTTGTTTCTTCATCTCTAAGGGGAACTGGAAAAAAATGGCAATAACTACTTCTTCCATCTCCCCTTATGAATTATTTTATCTCAAAACAACCATGGGAGAAACTTTCTGGGTTTCTGTCCTGTTTCTCAAAGTCTGTTTCATCATGTGCTACAGCTATGACTATCCCATTACTAAAAGTATCCTACTGAGTTCAACTCCATTATTTATGGAGGTCCAGTTATTTTTAATTAAATCATTGTCTATTGGTGATGGCCCTTGGTTTCTAGTCATTTTCCATCCCAGGGTGGGATTGAATGTTTCAACTGTTCACTCACAT